CAATACACACAAAAGCTATAGCACAAGGTAAAATATAACATAGATATAACAATATATGTACACCAGAGTCACCGATAGCAACCGTCTATATGGCTGGTTGAGTGGGTGCTGCGGGACTCTCTAGGCATCACAGTCATCCCGCCACTACTGTTCATATTTAAATACAGGATTGACTCCATTTTTTATAACAGGGCGATATACGGCACTGTTGCACTATTTTCGGCCCTTTTTGGGTTGAAGTAGCCGCAATACATTATCACTACATAGTTCTACCAGTCTCCCTATTTCTCTCTCTCTCTCTCTCTCTCTCTCATCTCTCCTCTCTCTCTCTCTCTCTTCTCTTCTTTCTCTCTCTCTCTCTCTCTCCTCACGCTCCTCTCTCCATCGTCTCTCCTCTCTCTCTCTCTCTCTCTCTCTCTCTCTCTATATCATATATATCTATATAAAGTTGAGTATATATACATGCCTAACCACGTTTCCAATAATTCTCTTCTTCTCAGAAATCGGCAAACAAAGATTTCGCAACGGCCAGCTCGATCGCCCTTCTCGCTTTTCTAGCATTTCGTGTACGACTTGTGCGATCGTCGTACGTAACGTAATAGCACGCCGTATAATTCGCGCCCGCTTCATATAGATTAGCAAACAGACGGTATATTTGCTTACATGGACAACGAACCACCTGATGGGCGCACGCACGACAAACGCACGGCGACAGTCTCTCGTGTGGGCAAATCGTTTTATACGCGCTAGCTTTGAACACGACGGAGCCGCAGGCGATCCGAACCTAAACTGACAACTCGGTCAGTGACTACCGCCGCCCGTCGATTATCGACCGCGCTCGTCTAATCCTATGATCTACTCGATCGATCAGAGGCCACCCCATAATGCATCGCGTGCGTCGAATAAAAATTAATCAATCAAGCCCGCGGAGAGTGACGCAGTAATTAGAACGTATTTCCAGGAGACCAGTCGGCTAATTAGACGACATTTATTCAAAAGAATTTGTGAATAAGCCGTGTTTACGTAATGATCGTGTTTTCCTAGCAGAAGTTTATTTACTACTAGTCGACGATTTCCATAATTGCTAGCGCTTGATATTTATCGACGAACGGCCTTTAATTTCGTGTCATGGAATTTCTATTAGAAATATAGTTCCAATTTTGTGATTGGAAATGAAATTCCAACGAAGCAAACAGTTTTCTGTTGGATAATAAAATTTGGCCTCGGCAAATAGCTTACGGTCTGTGCTGAGCCACACGAAACAGAATCTGAGAGTAAACGGAATGTGGGCAGTACGTACGTATATCGTACCCCCTGTTCTATAGTGCATGAAGGTGAAGCGCAGTCCGAAATTGGTTTATCGCAGCCGACTACTTGTTTTTATGACTTGTCAGACCTATGTATATCATCGAGTTTATCACTCGATCGCGAACTTGGATTTTACCCCAAGCCAGCGTTGAGGCAGGGCGAGTGTAGGTTCGTTTACAAAGATAGGACGAGGCGATTGAAAAGATATTAAACAGAAGATCAGCGTCCAAATAAGAGATCTTTTCACAACGTAGAAACCTTTTGAATTAAAGAAGATTTCCGTCTTTTTTCTCCTTATACATTCGCAAAATTCGCGTTATACATTCGCAAAATTCGCGTTGCATGGCAAACAAATGTGTCAGGTTGCGTTACTTAGGTGCTGTTTTTGCGCGCTTTCATTATCTGCTGAAAACTAAATTTTAATATTTGCCAAGAAATTTCCCCGCGTCAATAGACGCGCAAATTCCGCTTTAGTTTTTAACTAGAGTATGTACGTTGCATCGTGTCTCCGTTAACACCTAAACAATATTTTTCAGTCAGCACAGGTTCTTTCGTGAGACCCTCCGTGAATGCGGCCACACGTTGAAAGTCGTAGGTATTGATTGCATGCGCTAACCCACACTCAATATCCACTTCTATGTGCTTTTGTATATAAAGGATTGATACTTGCAAAGCAAGCTGCTGTATGTGAATGTGTGCATGTGTCCGTACGTACTTGTCCGCGGGTGTAACTGGGATTGCGTGTGTTGGCTTTGGTGCACGCGCGTGCGTGGATATATATATATATATATATATATATTACTTGGGGCCCCAGCGTTGCTTGGGTTCTTTTGCTACCAATATATGCTGTGTTCATATTTGAAATAAAAGCAGAGAAGAACTAATGGTATCAAACGGTAATCCAATGCTTTTGGATAGACGATATTGAATAGCATAGCACGAAAGAATAATATAATAAAAACAGTAATTTCACAATTTTCAGAGAATAGAAATGTGTATAATATAAGGGTTAACATGAGAAAACGCAACGCAACACAACACAGCATAGCGTAACATAACATAACATAACATAATATAACATAACATAACATAACATAACATAACATAACATAACATAACATAACA